GAATAATTTCAAGGAGACCAATTTGGTGTATGACGGGTCTTCTGACTCGTCGAGGCATGTGAGGACCTTTGAGAATATGGTTGTGTTGCATGGATATTCTGATTCTGTTTGTTGCTGGGCGTTTCTATCGACCTTGCGCGGAGGAGCACTTGACTGGTTTCATCAGTTACCCTCTGGGTCGATTGCGGATTTTGAGGATTTTGCCAGAAAGCTTACCAATCAATAATCGAGTGCGGTGGCGCATGAGAAAACGTATTTGACGTTGATGGCAATGAGACAGGGGGAGAAGGAGTCGTTGAGAAAGTATGTTGCTCGATATAATCAGACGTGTTTGGAGGTGCACTCGGCCTCAGATGAGGTGAAGGCGGGAGGATTGATAAGAAGTCTTCGAGCAGGGCCTTGCCGAACTTCCCTGGCAAAAACCCCTGCTCGATCATGTAAGGATGTCTTGAAGCGTTACAGGAAGTATATTAATTTGGAGGAAATAGAGGTAGAATTCGCAAAGTTAGAAGGGTCGGCTCGACCAGAGCCAAAGAAGGAGCAAAGCCCACCAAGAGGGAGGTCGCCGAGGAGGAGTTTGCCCAAGAGAAGTGGGTCGAAAAAGATATCACCCAGGAGGGAAGGTCGAGATTCGAAGCGATAGAAGAGGGACGATAGGTGGCAGGGAAGGCCATTGTTGTTCGAAAGACAGAGGTATCATAATTTTACACCCTTAAGGAAAGATTTGACAGAGGTGCTCGAGGCTATGGAGCAGAAGATGTCGACCGAGGATGTGACGTGGCCGAAGACAAGGTTCACAGGCCCGACTCGACCCAGATCGGATATATATTGTCAATTTCACTGGGATTACGGCCATACCACGGAGAACTGCAGGCATTTGAAGTATGAGATTGAAAGGTTGATTCGAGCAGGACATTTGAAAGAGTTTGTGTATCATGATAGGGCGAAAGGGAAAGGAAGGAGAAGGTGTCAGGATGATTCGGAGGAAAAGAGTGATAGGGATGAAGAAGGAGATGACGGAGAGGGCCGAGGTGGTCGAGGAAAAAAGCCGAGAAGAGATGGAGATAAAAGGGACTAGGGAGGAGAAGCCCTGATGAAGAGAGGGACAATTTACATGATTTCCGGAGGGCCAACGGATGGTGACTCGAATAGGGCCAGGAAGGAGCATGCTCGAGCTGTGAAGAGGAAAAGAGAGGAGGTGAGAATTACGGCTCGTATGTCGATGATAAGTTTTAAGGCGGCGGATGTGGAGGGAGTGGTCCTACCGCACAACGATGCTTTGGTGATAACTGCGGAGGTTGCAGGCTTTGACGTGAAGAGAGTGTTTATTGATACCGGGAGTTTGGTAGACGTGATGTTCTATGACTGTTTTGCGCAAATTAATAAGGAG